AGTGGAGCAGCCGGGACTGGAACTGGCACCCATATGGGTTGCCAGCACCGCAGGCAGTGGCTTTACCCACTACACCACTGCACCGGCCCCAGAAAGGGGATTTCTTGAAGTTTGTTTTCAGTAAACTCATAAAGAATGATGCTCAGTGTCTGTAAATTTAATAGAGAATGATAGTTCCTTTAAGATGTTGGTTTTTTTGAATGTCTTTTTTTCCTTCGGTATATGCCATTGACACATTTTCTAACTATAATATCTGTCTTTTGTTTGTACTAACCTTCCAGTCATTTTCTGATTATAGGTGAGCTGGTAGAGATCTACTCCTTTACAGGCTCTCTACCAAAATATTGATGTTTCTATAAAAGATGCATTAATTCTAAGATAAAGTTTATTTTCCATAGGCTCTAGATGTTATAAATTGGAGAATTGAGGTCTTTTTTTGTTGTTTTTTAAGATTTTATTTGTTTGAGAAAGAGATTTACAGACAGAGAGGGAGAGACAGAGAAAGGTCATCTTCCACTGCTTTCCCAGGCCATAAGCAGAGAGCTGAATAGGAAGAGGAGCAGCTGGGACACAAACTGGTGCCCATATGGGATGCCAGCACCACAGGTGGAGGCCAAGCCTATCAAGCCACAGCGTCAGCCCAGATGAAGAGATCTTAATAAAGACATACTATAAGAGGACTTCAAAATGTTCATAGAAAATATGTTTTGTTAAAAATTGTGAATGGTTTTCAAAATTGTTTTGTACCAAACTAGTCTTTTAATTAGATTTTTCAGTGAACTTTGTGACGTATCTTTTATAGGTAAGTTATTATTTTGTTATTTTATTTATTGGCAAGGCAAAAAGGATTTTCCATCTGCTGGTTCTTAACCCAAGTGCTCCCAAGCACTGGGGCAAGACTAGTCTGAAGCTGGGAGTGTGACTCAATCCATTTCTCCCACACGCGTGGCAGAAACCCAGTTATTTGAGCCGTTGTGGCGACCTCCCAGAGTGCGTGTGGCAGGAAGCTGATTGGAAGCACAGGGAAGCTGAGACTCAGACCGTCATTCTGACACAGGGTGAGAGTGCCCCACGCGGGGGCTTAGCTTGTTGTGCCTTGCTGTCCCCTGGCCCACGCCCATGTTCACCCTTCTTATGCATGTTAGATGGAAGAATGTTGGTAACTTATTTGGTTGCTGTTAGGTTTTATGACCATATCACTTTTCAACTCAGTTTTTTTCTTTAAAATTACTTGAGTACTGTTTTGCGCTTCGTGATTATTGTAATTATTAAGAGAGATGGTTCTATTTACCATAGTCTGCATTTTGTGTGTGTGTGTGTTTGTGTGTCTTTGTGTCTCTGTTTAAGGTGGTAGTCGGTTTCTTTGAGCAAAACCCGATTTAATGAACTTGATAGATTTCAAGTAGAAATTGAGACTTAAGGAGTGTAACCTTGTGAATTCCACACAGGAGTGCTTATGGGATTTGGGATTTACTAGTGAGAAGTAGGCAGCAGAGTTCCTTTGCATGTAGTGGGGAAAGGAGAGGTTGTTGTCATGTGTCTTGGTTTTCTATTGCTGCAGACCGAATGATTCCAGAATGTGGTGGCTTACACACAGCAGACGGTGATCAGGGTCAGGAATCTGGGAACGAATTAGTTGGGCCTCAGCCCTCAGAGCCATCTCTGAGACCTTAATTGTGGGTAGATCTGTGCCCAAGTGCAGTCATCCCTTTGTGAACAGGAGACAGTTGTTGGCCCGGGAGGGTGTCATTTCTCTCTGACCATAGTCCCCCAGCAGAGAGGCTTCCTCCGTCCAGGCATTCAAGCTGGGGGAGGGGGGGGCAGTGTGCCCAGCGTGGAAATGAGAGCCTCTGATTTGCCTGTATATAATATATTAGATACGCAAATCCTGATGTCCAGCCCTGCCTCAAGGGAGGACATCAGTGCCAGGTGGGTGGGTAGAGAAAAAGAGCCCTAGCAGCAGCTGCCCATCCCATAACTTCTCTTTGCATGAGTGACACAAAATGATGTTGGGATACATTCAGGATGGGTATACAGAAATCTTCATCCGGTTTGTTTTTCGACTGCAGAGCCCATCACGTGGAGTTTTGTCATACAGGTGAGCTCTCTTTAATGTGAGGTTTGACAGGAATGGGTCCTCTGTTTCTGTGCCTCAGTCCCCTTGGCCTTCAAGGGGGCTTCACGTCCTCCCCACCTCCCTCTGCACGGGAGAGGACGTGCTAGGTGCTGGAAAAGTTAAATCCTCTTCTTTCTTTCGAGAATGCCAGTTAGTGCAAGCGTTACTCAAGTGTCACACGCGGACACCTTGGCTTATTTCATGGAAGTTTGGAATGGGATTCATTTTATCTGCATTAAGGATTGAGTTTTTCAGTAAGATAACGAGGGAAGTTTAGAATCCAATTCAGGGATTCTCAAATTCTGGTCCTGAGCCAGCAACATGATCATCTCCTGGGGAATTCTTGGGAATACACCTTTTCTGGCCCCACCCTGGCCTCAGAATCAGGAGTTCTAGAGGAAGAGTCCAGCAGTCTGTTTAGCAGACGCTCCAGGACGTGATGACGCGTCCTCAGGTCTCAGTGCACCCATTTATTGGGTCTATTAGAATTGAAGTACTTTTCCCAAAAGCTTTTGACCACTACTGGAGAGGTCCGTGTACTGCTGTTATGTAGGGCTCTCCAGGAAAAGAAGCATTTTTCTTCCTGCTTGTTTTGCAGACAAGGAATGGAGTGGAGGCAGAGTCCTCGCCTTGCAGGTCTCCCATCCGAGGGCCGGGCTCGGCGCGTCTGTGTGCTTCCCTGGGGGTGCTGGCAGGAAGAGGACGTGGGTTGAAGTGAATGTTCTTTTCCCTTACATTATTTCTGCTTCCTAACAAAGTGACTTCAATACTGAATAGTTGACTTCATAGTTACTTACTTATTAAACTTTTTTAGTTGTGGTTTGAAAGTGCACTTGATATTAGTCAAGAATTGGTTGTATAATGTTTCATATGCTTTATAGTTTCATTTCAGTGAACTTTCACCAACAGAGATTCATGCTGAGATAGATGAAGTAGAGGACTCACCCAGAGTTGGGGACGGGCTGGGTTCCAATGTTAGATACCAGTTAAAATGGTAACTGCATAAATAGCTGATATTTCTTTGTGTTCTTAATTCCAGATGTTGTTAACACATCCTTTGATACTATGTAGCAAGATTAAAAGCAGACTTTAATTTCCACTGTATTCATGACATACGTAATTGGTCAAATGTCACTTTATGTTTTGCAGAAGTGTCATAACTTACATGTTTTTGAGGACTAAGTTTTTGAAGGGGCTGTTTGTAATGTGTTTGCATGAATCGTGTTTGTAAGCTCTGTAGTATGCACTGGCTGAAGGGGGAGAGCTGTTCATATATTGGTTTAGGTAAAGTTATCAGGATTATAGTTTCACATACTGGGTGACTGATTTTACTTTCGTCCTTTATCTTGTATAAAGAAAGTCTTGTATTGAAATGTGAAAACAGATCAGATAGTGAAGTTCTGTATTATTCCAAAAAAACTATTTTTTAAGGAAAAAAGGTAATCATGTGTATTAACAACATTTAAATCTCAACCTTCCTTGAATTTCTGTTTAGTTTGGTGTGTGGGGCTCTGCTAGCTTGAATTGTTTGCTGGATTCTTTTAGTCTAGTAACTGGAGAAGCAGCAGAGTAACCCGGGTTAGATGAGAACTGTCGTTGACTTGTGGGTCAGTGTTGTGCACTTGAGGAGCCTGATGACTTGAAACATGGTAGCTGCTGCTTTTATATATGGTAGCTGCTGCTTTTATATATCTTCTCGTTTTGTTGACTTTGTGTGTTTAGCATAAATTATAATTTTATTGCATGGGTTGTTAAGGTAGTTCAGTCTATTTGAAGGCTATTTGTTGCCTTGAGACTTTTTTTTTTTAAATAAATCTCTTATTCTGGTAAAAACTGCATGTCAGAACATTTTGAAATAAATTATTAGCACATTTCAGCGGATACGAAAACATTTGAAAGTGATTCTGTTTTCATTTTTGTGCATGCGTTTAGTTAATGAATTATCTTTTCCTTGGTTGAGCTAATTTTGATGCAGTTCTTAAGACAGAATTTGGTAAGCCATTCTGTGTTGAAGTTATTTATGGCATAAATCTTTTCATGAAAAAGTTGTTTTAGATTTTTATCTTTTTTTTTGTACTTAGAAATGTCATTTTTCTTCAACTGCAAATAGAATTTGCATGCCACATAAATTGCATTTTAAATATTTCTTAAATTTAAAATCCTCAATTTTAAGATTTAGTAAATTTTCTATTAGAGTGAAGGGCATATATTTGGCCAGTGTAAATTGAGACTGTGCATAGTTTATTTCTTAAAGTTTATAATGTACACAAATAATTCCTGAGTTACTCGAATTAGTGTTGGCTGGCACCCAAAGAAGGAAATCGTCGACCTTCATTATCAGTGTGTCCTGGGGGTGTGTATGTATATAAAGGAGCTCAGCCCCTTTCTCGGATCAAGGGAAATGCTAACTTTCCCCCACTCCTGCTGACATGGTCTGAATCAACGCTTGAGTGCCCGCGGTACACTGGGCCTGGCAGAGGTGAATGCTAGCCAGTCTTCAGTGTTATCTTGCACCACCGGCAGTATTGGTGCCCACAGATTAGTTTCCCTGTAAAAGTAAAATGATCAGAAATTGATTATCAAATGCAGTTAGCATTATTTTCTTGGATTTTGGATATTTGTGTGTGCACAAGTGTGCTTCTTAACTGATGTCTAACTTCATTTGTGATTGTAACAAGTTCCTAGCCTGGGTTTCATCAGGGGAGTTGGATGTTATCCTCGAATTGTTGGTCCTCTGCAATAAACTAGAATGCTTGCCATGAGTGACTAAGCCAGGATGGTGAGGCAAGGGGTTTTATGTGAAAATTTGTTTTGGTGATGGCATAAATACATAACAGGTTCTGAAATCCAATTACTATATTAAATTTCATCACTTGTTTTTTAGGTATTCCAATAACTGTACCACCTCCAGGTAAAACTTTTTTCATGTTTTCTCCATCGTTGTTAATAAACATGAAATTTCAAGCTCACAGTTACAGGAGGGCAGTGTTGATGCGCTTAGAACGTGAATAGGCTGTGATTCCAGGGTCCTATTTTCAGCTCTGCCTTTGCTTCATTCTACTTCTGATTAAGATACTTAATTTGTCTTATATCTGTCTTACCCATTTATGTTGAAATAGATCTTCTTTTTAGATTCTTACCATATCAATTTGTGAGGAAAACAGTTTAAGGAAGATAATCAATTTTTATCAAAATATTTTTTGAGACCAGTGAATTTTTTATGATTAAGTACTACAAGAGAAAGGTCATTTATCTTGACTTTACCGTGGTTTCTGATTTTTTTTTAACCTACTGGCATAACTCAGTATCATGAGGAAGTAAGTTCCAAAGCACACAGCAGTTAGGTAAATTGACAGCTGGCTGCTCTTAGCTTTGTCATCATTGCTCATTATTGTAAGTGCAGGGTCAGTAGGAGTTCATAGGTGGACCAGTGTTGTTTTTACATTTTTATCAGTTTTTTCTTTTTCTAGTAGGCAAGTTTGTTTACTGAGTTAGTGTTAAAAAAAGCTATGAAGAGAATGCTTGGAAGTGTGGTGATACACAGAGATAGCATAGTTCAGATAGCAGTGGAGAGGAGGCATTTTTAGCTGCGGTAGAGAGTCACTGTGTGAAAGGTCTGAAAAAGACTTATCAGGAAAAGTCACAGGAATCATTGGCACGTCTCTTTAGTCTGAAAAGCAGTGTGGACTTCAGGAGTCATGTAGTAATTGCTGAACACACATGTCTATGATGTTTACTGAGAGAGTCAGAGCTCCTAAAACAATATAGTGAAGGGCATGGTAAACTTAAATAGTTTGTAGCAAGGCTAACAGTGGATTTAAATGGACCTTTGAGAAGGGTTCAGGAGCTGAGATGTCTTTTCATATGGGATGTGTAGAAGGAGGTTTAGTAGAAGTGTTCCAGACATGGAGAAGGTGGAGAGCAGGACCACGACACTTCTTACCGTTAGGACAGTGTCAAGACTCGTAGTGGTAATGAGAATTGTTAAAGCGTGGAAGGAAAGGAATTGGTACAGGTTGTGGAATCTTTAAAGTCTTTTTTGGGCTCTTTATTGCCTATCTGAATTTGCAAGTGTAGACTAGGTTAAGAGTTAAGGTCCCTCGTAGCCATTTTATTCTATGGTATTTCATTTAGGTCTGGTGAGTGAGTGAGAATGCAGACCTCATTATATCAAGGTGCAAATTGTTTTCTTTCCTCTAACCCACAAACTGCATTATGTGCCTTTCTTTGTAAAATAATTTGTTAAGGTTGTGCTATTTGAAACATTTTATGGTGGATATTGAGTGTTTATGTACTTACTGGTAAGATTTTATTTATAATTATACATATTAAAGAAATTTCTATGTATCTAAAGCTCAAAAACTTTTTGAAAGAGGTAAACATTATTTTATTTGCTTTTCTTCTAAAATATTTCATGTATAACATATCTGGTGGCAACGCTACTACTGTTTTTATATGGAAAAGGTAAGGCATTGAAATTAGCTTTCTGATACTCACAATGGGCTGTGTGTGGTGCTGAAAATAAGACCAGGTGTCCTGACTCCTTTGTGTCCTGTGTCATTAGAGCAGACTGTTCATTTTAAGTTGCATTGCTCCAACAATCTGTTAATAAGTTTAAGTTCCATTTTTTTTTCTGTCGATTTTAACATAGGGAAGCACGGTTATGTCCCTGAGAGATTTAGCGTTACGCAACTGCTTGTTTCACACTTTTCATTAAATAGAAGTTCTGTTAACTTCTTTTGTCTTACGGTTGAATGTTTCAGGTTTTCCTCCACCACCAGGCGCTCCTCCGCCGTCTCTTATCCCAACGATAGAAAGGTAAATCCTGTTCTGTTTTGGTGGTTGATAACCATCTGACAGAAGAATCATGTGCATAAAGTAATGCTTTTAAAGATTTAATTTTAGAATCCTAGAACTTTTAATTCATAAATCCAGATCTGTTAATTACTTTTTTTTTTAAGATTTATTTTATTTATTTGAAAGAGTTAGAGAGGTAGAGACAGAAAGAGAGATCCATCCACTGGTTCACTCCCCAGATGGCTACAACAGCCAGAGCTGCGCAGATCCAAAGCCAGGAGCCTGGAGCCTCTTCTGGGTCTCCAGCGTGGGTACAGGAGCCCAAGGACCTGGCCCATCCTCCACTGCTATCCCAGGCCATAGCAGAGAGCCAGACCAGAAGAGGGGCAGCCGAGACTAGAACCGGTGCCCATATGGGATGCCGGCACTTCAGGCCAGGGCCCCAACCCGCTGTGCCACAGCACTGGCGTTAATTACTTTAATACAAGATGTTGCACATATGGCCTGATATCAAAACTGGACAAAGAAAACTAAGTCATAATATTTTTAAATAGTATCTTTGATTTATGACACATTGATTAAAGAAACCCTTAGATTATTAAAAAAACAAAAGCAAATCAACCCTGGCTGCAGTCAGTTTTGTGAGAAATAGAAACGTAAGTTTGTGGCAGTCATGAACAATGCCTGTCTTGGTTCGGATAACTGTTAGCAGTCCCTGGTAACAAAGAAAGGCTGCCTGTTCACTGCATCCTGCCGTGTCTGCACTTCCACAGAGAAGGGCTGAGTCCCCCCACCCCGGGGACCTGGTGCTGTGCTTGTGAGCGCCTTGTGGCCAGCAGTAGGAGGCAGGCGTCACAACACACAGTGTTGCTGGGGGGACTCCGTTTCCTCTGCCAGAGAGGGTTGATAGAGTTGTGAAGATCCAGACAGCTGGTGAAGGGAAAGCACCAGCCCGCTTCTTGGCAGACGGATGTCATCTACCAGTGAGACCTGTCACCCTGTTTGGCAAACAGTGAGAACACCAGCAGGATCCACCGTGCCTCTGATCTTAGAGGAACGGTAAACTCGGTGACTTAGTTTCTGACGTCTGTCACACACACGCTTGGCTCTGCGCGAAATGCTAGAAAGTGTTGTTAACCCTGATAGCCAGGCAGATTGACTGACTTCACTAAGAGGAAAGTTTTTAGTACTACATTTTACTCTCAAATAATCTGTTAGACTGAATTTGTGAGTTCCCTTGTGAGTCAGACTGAATTGATTGTGGTTCTGTTAAGTAATATTGCAAATTTACATTTTCTTTATAACTTAGATATTAGGGTTAGTGTTTTTCAGGTTAAAAACGTATGTTTGAGTGTGCAAAAATAAAATTGCAGAATTGGTTAATGAAATGGTGGCTGAATAAAAGTTTTAATTTTGCCCTGATACTTTCCCATTTGCACCAAACTATTAAAATTTAGAATTTCTTGCAATATATGTGAAAATACACTTTGTCTCTTCAACAGTGGGCATTCCTCTGGTTATGATAGTCGTTCTGCACGGGCATTCCCATATGGCAATGGTAAGTGGTAGTAGTTACTGAGATTCAGTTTGAATTAGTAAAGTGCTCACATATTTTTATGGTGATAGAAATCTGTTTCCATGGTTTAAAGTAACATCTTACAGAGAAATCTAAAAATACTAAGTTTAGTAATAACTTGGGTTTATGTATCTGCCAGGTTGCTTAATGGAGTAATTGTCATTACTTACCAAATGTTCTTTTAAAAATGAATAAATGGTGACATAATAGGGATGTTTGTACCTTGATTTTTCCTGAAGGAGTTAGGGTCTGTCAGCAGGCTGTCTAAGTCTTCATTATCCATATCTTTCTGATTCTTGGCTGGTGGCATCCACCCCAGGCCCATTTTTCACCCTTGCTGATTTAATCTCACATTGTACAACACATTAAGGACAGAGATCCTACATGGGGAGTAAGTGCACAGTGACTCCTGTTGTTGACTTAACAATTCGACACTCTTGTTTATGACATCAGTAATCACCCTAGGCTCTTGTCATGAGTTGCCAAGGCTGTGGAAGCCTTTTGAGTTCGCCAACTCTGATCTTATTTAGACAAGGTCATAGTCAAGGTGGAAGTTCTTTCCTCCCTTCCTCCTTCTTTGATGGCCCATTCTTTCCACTGGGATCTCACTCACAGAGATCTTTCATTTAGGTTTTTTTTTTTTTTTGTTTTTTTTTTTTTTTTTGCCCAAGTGTCTTGGCTTTCCATGCCTAAAATACTCTCATGGGCTCTTCAGCCAGATCTGAATGCCTTAACGGCTGATTCTGAGGCCAGAGTGCTGTTTAGGACATCTGCCATTCTATGAGTCTGCTGTGTATCCAGCTTCCCAGGTTGGATTGTTCTCTCCTTTTTATTCTATCAGTTAGTATTAGCAGACACTAGTCTTGTTTATGTGATCCCTTTGACTCTTAATCCTATCATTATAATCAGTTGTGAACTGAAACTGATCACTTGGACTAGTGAGATGGCATTGGTACATGCCACCTTGATGGGATTGAATTGGAATCCCCTGGCACGTTTCTAGCTCTACCGTTTGGGGCAAGTCTGACTGAGCATGTCCCAAATTGTACATCTCCTCCCTCTCTTATTCCCACTCTTATATTTAACAGGGATCACTTTTCAATTAAATTTAAACACCTAAGAATAATTGTGTTAATTACAGAGTTCAACCAATAGTATTCAGTAGAACAAAAAAAATATTAAAAGGGATAAAGTATTAAGTTGTTCATCAACAGTCAGGACAAGGGCTGATCAAGTCACTGTTTCTCACAGTGTCCATTTCACTTCAACAGGTTTCCTTTTTGGTGCTCGGTTAGTTGTCACTGATCAGGGAGAAGATATGATATTTGTCCCTTTGGGACTGGCCTATTTCACTCAGCATGATGTTTTCCAGATTCCTCCATTTTGGCCTTATGAGATTTTAAATTACTTATTAATGTCTCTGTTAATCTATTAATGCTTCCTTTTCTCTTGAATACTTTCTGGTAAATTTTTATTTTTGGAAGTAATCCATTTCGGGTAAGCTTTTAAGTGCATTGATATAAAGTGTATAATGTTCTCTCATTTAGCTTCTGCAGTGTCTAATTGTGGCCCTTTTTGGTTCTAGTATCATTTATGTGCTCTCTTTTTTCTTAATTTTGTCAAAAGATTGTTATTTTTTTTAGTCTCCAGCAACCAATTCTCGCTTTTTTCATTCTTAAGTTCTTAAATTAGAAGCTTAGCGCAACGTAGTGATTAAGACTGAGTTTTCCTCTGTAAGAGCTCTTTTTATGTCCCAGAACTTCTGATACATCATATATTTGTATTCTTTTAGTTATTTAAATTATGATTTATTTTTACTCCTGACTTACCTGAAATGTGTTAATTTGAAATGAGTGTTTTTAATTTTGAAATGTTTTAAATTTGACTTCTAACTTAAATTGCATGATGGTCGTAGAACATGGTGTCTCTTACACTCGTCCTTTGAAAATGTCTGTGTTTTGTTAACAAATTCTTCATGTGTGCTGGAAGAAGCAGCTTTCTATTTTATGGAGAGTGTTGAATGTTATGTCCATTTAATCAGCCTTGTCACCAATGTGTTACTCATACCTTACTCCATCTATCAGCTTTTTGTCTGCTTAATTTGAGTAATTGAGAAGAGTATGTTAATCTCCCATGACCATGAGGTTTTTTTCTACTTATATTTCCATCAGTTCTTGCTGTCTAAAAATTAAGGTGATCGCTGATGCCTGGAATTTTAAATTTGTTCTCTTTTGGGTAAAGTGCATCTTCTGTCCATATTTTCTCTTTTTGTGAGTCTCTTTCAATAATGGCCACACTCACTTGGTGCCTGAGGGGTGTTAGGATTTTTCTTGTTGGTGTTTTTTCTTTTTTCCTTCCTTATTTTCCTTTCAGTCTTTCTGTGTGTTTTTATATCTGGTATTCAGAATACAGTTAGTCTTTTTAATGATTTTAAAATTTTATTTATTTGAGAGGTAGAATTAACAGACACAGGGAAAGACAGGGAGAAAGATCTTCGATCTGGTGGTTCACTCTCCAGATGGCCACAATGGCTGAACCTGAGTGATCCAAAGCCAGGAGCCAGAAGCTTCTTGCAGGTCTCCTACATGGGCACAGGGGCCCAAGCACTTGGGCCGTCTTCTGCTGCCTTTCAAGGCCAGCAGAGAGCTGGGTCAGAAGAGGAGCACTCGGGATATGAACCCTGTGCCCATATGAGATGCCAGCACCACAGGCAGAGGCTTAGCCCACTGTGCCACAGCACCAGCCCCTAGTTAATCTTTTTAAAGTACAAATCAATATTGTCTGTGTCTTAGCTGGTGAATTCAGACCCTTTTTGTTATTGAGATTTTTGAGGTATTTGAATATGTGTCCCATCCCCATCCTTTCCAAATCTTTTTAAATTGACTTGAGTTTTTCAATTGATTTTTCTTAAATTGTGATTTTTTCTTTATTGTTGTGAAATTAGACATTTCTGTACAGTGGTTACACTTGAAATTTACTATGCATACTTAATGATAAATTATTAAATAAATCTGAACCCGCTTCTCCATCACTACAGAGACCTCAGAACATGTCTTTGTTTTCTGGCTATTATGTTTGTTACTTTAATTTTACTCCTAAGGCTTTTCTATTAGATTTGCCTGTATGATTATGGTTTATGTGTTCCATGCCTGTACATTTTAGATCTTTGTTTTTGGAGTAATTTTTCTTCTCTCAATGTGTATCTAATAGAAGTTCTTTTGAGGAAGTCTGTTGGTTGTAAGTTTTGCTTACTTTTTGTTTATAAATGTCTGTTTTCATTAAAGTACAACTTTGTTGGGTGTGCCTTTCTATGTTGATAATGATTTTCTGTCAGCAGTGAAGAATTCACGATGTATTCTCTGCACTTTAGGTTCCGGGAAGTTTGTGGTCAGTCTCAATCTGGTTCCTGCTCACCTTGCAAAGTGAGGGGCTTTGTATGTTAGGGCTTCAAGAGGGTTGCTGGATCTTCCTCCAGTGCTGTGGGTGTTTGCCATATGACAGTTCTCTTTCCCATTATAAATTAAGTTTCTGTTTGAACTTAATGACACAATTTTGGTAGCTTTCTGTTTTTGTTTTTTAAGTGCCCTAACCTTGGTTTTTATTTGTTGTGTTGTGCTTCTTTAGTTGCTTTTCCCCATCTTCCTGGTTCTGCTCCTTCATGGCCTAGTCTTGTGGACACCAGCAAGCAGTGGGACTATTACGCGAGAAGAGAGAAAGACCGAGACAGAGAAAGAGACAGAGACAGAGAGCGCGACCGGGACCGGGACCGAGAAAGAGAGCGCACCCGCGAGAGAGAGCGGGAGCGTGACCACAGTCCCACGCCGAGTGTCTTCAACAGGTCTGTTGGCTGTGCGGGAATTTCTGCACGTGTAGCTCACACACACTTTTGGGCTTATATTTGATGTACAAAAGTGACTTCCAGTTTGCTTGGAAGAGGGATGCTTGAAGAAGAGTACTTAGGAAAAGGCTTTTTTTTTTTTTTTTCTAGCTTTTATTTATTTATTTTTAAAAGATTTATTTTTGTGGCCAGCGCCGTGGCTCACTGGTTAATCCTCTGCCTGCAGCGCCAGCATCCCATATGGGCGCCAGGTTCTAGTCTCAGTTGCTCCTCTTCCAGGCCAGCTCTCTGCTGTGGTCTGGGAGTGCAGTGGAGGATGGCCCAAGTGCTTGGGCCCTGCACCCCATGGGAGACCAGGAGGAAGCACCTGGCTCCTGGCTTCAGATAGGCACAGTGCGCCTGCCATAGTGATCATTTTGGGGGGTGAACCAACGGAAAGGAAGACCTTTCTCTCTATCTCTCTGTCTCTCACTGTCTAACTCTGCCTGTTAAAAAAAAAGAAAAAAGATTTATTTATTTATTTGAGAGGGAGAGAGAGGTCTTCCATCCACTGGTTCACTCCCCAAATGGCTGAAACGGCCAGAGCTGGGCCATCCTACACTGCCTTCCCAGGTACATTAGTAGGGAGATGGGCTGGAAGTGGCGCAGCCAGATTTTGAACCCAGGCACCCATGTGGGGTGATGGTGCTACAGATGTTGCCACAGCGAATGAATATTTTTAGTGTAAGAAAAAAAACAAGAGTTTGCCATTACATGATCTTTCTTTCTTTACATATAGAAGTAAGCACTGATTGTATATGTTCATATCAATCTATGGATAAAAATGGACAGAAGTTTGTTATGGCTTTGTCGTTCAGTTATTAGAATATGTCTAGAGTTCCTGATTTGTCAAAATTACATATTTAATTTATCAAAGTTATCTTTAATGGTCCATCTTATCACAGCTCAGTTGCTTTGAAAGAGTTGAAATTTACCTGATTTGTTGGAATATTAGTTTCCTCGGGCTGCTATAATAGAATCTGGTAAACCAGGGCTTAGGACAAGAGATGTGGATTCCCACAGTTCTGGAGTATAGAAGTTCATCATCAGTGTCATCGGGGTTGATTCTTTTATAAATGCTTTCATGGGGACCAAAACTGTGGCTCAGCTGGTGAAGCCGCCCCACCGTCTGCAGTGCCAGCATCCCATGTGGGCACCGGTTTGAGACCCGGCTGCACCATTTCCAATCCCTGAGAATGCCCCTGAAAAGGCAGTGGAAGATTGCCTACGTGCTTGGGCGCCTGTACCCACAAAGGAGACCTAGAAGGGCCTCCTGGCTACCGCCAGGCCTACCCCCAGCTATTGTGGCCACTTTGGGAGTGAACCTGCAGATGGAAGATTCATCTCTCTCCTTCCCTGCCTCCCTCCCTCCCACACTCCTACTCTCACCCACCCACCTCCCTCCCTGCCTCCTTCCTTCTCCTCCTCCTCTCTTTCCCCCCAGTAGAAAAAAAAATTTAAAAGATAAAAGACTTGGAGAGAGAACCCACTCCAGTCTTCTCTCATAGTTTCTGATGGTCACTGGCACTCCAAGGTTTTCCTCAGCTTCTGTGGTTGTAGGCTCTATCTCTGTCTTAATTCTTTTCTCTGTATCTAAATTCCCTCATATAAGAATAATAGTCATTGGATAGTCTAATACGTTACAACTTCATCTTGTTAACTTTGCAAGGACTCTATTTCCAAATAGGGTCATATTCATAGGTGCCAGCGTTAGAACTTAGCTTTTTGGGAAACAGAATTCAACCCAGTACATTTGGTAATCAAAGTCTTTTCAGTTTTCTCAGTTTCCTAGAACACTGAAGGGGGTTACCAAGATTTTTCAAGACTACTATTTATACTTGTTACTGTCACTCTTTCATTTAGGCAACTTGTTTAACTTAATATGCTTGGATAGGTTTGGGAAAACCAAAATACTATTAATTTTAATACATCTTTCGTAAGACTTTTCCCTTTTTTAATTTTCATGTTTAATTTTTTAAAAAGATTTACCTATTTATTTGAAAGGCAGAGTTACAGAGAGGCAGAGGCAGAGAAAGAGAGGGGTCTTGAAGCAGTGCAGGCTTAGCAATGAGCAACTCTGGAAGTCAAGGATCTGGAAACTGCTCCGAGACCTCCGTGCTGCTGGGAGGAGTGCATGTACTGACCGGGCCTGGTGTGTCCTCCCATCTGAAGAACAGATGTCAGGTGCATGTCAGAATCCCTGAGACACAGCTTTCTTCACAGTCTTGCCTCAGCGCACGTGGCGTGCGTTCTAACCCCAGTCCTGTCCCCAGGCAGCCTCGCTCTGCTGGGATCACACACGCTCCGTGCGTTCTGTTCCCATTCGTCCTCCCAGCCTCTCTCCCGCCTTGTTCACCTCTGTGTTCTGTGAGCTGCCCTCTGGATGCTCCCTGCACGTCTTCCCTGAGTTCCTTCTAAGTGCACAGACCACGGTGTTCATTTCTGTGTCCTGACCACTGTGTACCATTGTGCTTGGCACATAATCAACGTGTCAACAGGTCAGTGATCACAATAGAGAATCTTGAAAGTGACTGAAAGGCAATGATGTTATCTAGACCGATTTTGAAAGGGCCAAAATTCAGCCGTGCCTTCTCAGAGCATCAGTGCGGCCATCCTGGTCCTCACCATGCTGGTGCAGGGACCGCCGCAGTTCAGCATGAAGTGAGTCAGAGACAAATACAAGTAACCCACAGGTACAGGAGCACATGTTGATGGAGGCAGCATTTCTAGTTGAATGTGGTCATATGATTGTAGACTTCTCAACCCAGCGGTCTTAGGAATGATCTAGTCTACATCTCGATTTGTTGAGTTAGGAGCTAGAAGTTTAGAGAAATTAGGTGGTTGGCTGGCGCCGCGGCTCACTAGGCTAATCCTCCACCTGTGGCTCTGGCACACCGGGTTCTAGTCCCAGTTGGAGTGCTGGATTCTGTCCTGGTTGCTCCTCTCCCAGGCCAGCTCTCTGCTGTGGCCCAGGAAGGCAGTGGAGGATGACTCAGGTCCTTGGGCCCTGCACCTGCATGGGAGACCAGGAGAAGCACCTGGCTCCTGGCTTCGGATTGGCGCAGCACGCCAGCCACAACGCACCAGCCATAGCGGCCACTTAGGAGGTGAACCAACGGAAAAAGGAAGACCTTTCTCTCTCTTTTCTCTCACTGTCTAGCTCTCTAGCTCTGCCTGTCAAAAAAAAAAAAAAAAAAAAAGAGGTTGTGATAATAGACCCATATTATCTTTTTTTTTCTTTTTTTTTTATCTTTTATTTAATGAATATAAATTTCCAAAGTACGACTCATGGGTTACAATGGCTTCCCCCCCCGACCCATATTATCTTGAATCTGATTGAGGCATTATTCAGGATCGTTCTGAGTCTTAAAATTAGGTAGTTAGAAATTCTGTGACTTTTTATCCTTACCCTTATTCCTCTCTGGGCACATCTTTCTTTTTCTTTTTAAAGCATTCATTCATGTAGCTGACATTTTTTCGTTCCTGTCATAGGCTAGGACTAGTGCTATGTACTGGGGAGACAAAACGACACAGTGTTTGCAGATGTAACCCTGCTACTATGTTGCCCAGCTGGTAGGGGCTGCCTGTAGTTGAGGACTTTGATGAAAAGCACATGCAAGAAGGAACTGAAAAGAATTTTTAATCTTTTTTCCTTCCTTTGGCTTCTAGTAATTTGATTTATATATTGTAGGCACTAGTAAGATTTTATTGGTCGACTAAGTATTTAGCTATACGCTGCGTATGTGTGAGTGGTGTGTTTGTTGGGGGTACATCTGCTGTTGACTTCAGCCACTTAAATGCATAGTTCTGATAATGTAGCTGAAATGAATGTTTGAGATAGCACTGCTGTCTAGAGAATGTTGATGTTTATCAGTAAGGCGCTTATTAAAACCCGGTAGGAAAGGTTTTTTTGCATAAATACATGATGTTTATAGAAGATGGGGAGCTAAATTTTCTTGATTCTTCTCTTTCTGACCCACACATGCACAGATGCTGCTGAGTTTTTATTCAAACTTCAAAAAATTGTCAGTGGTTATCCCAGGTTTGATTTTTCCGGTTCCTGAGCTTCAGGGCGTGAGGAGTCGGTGTTTACCTAGATTTGATTCAAAGCTGAAGGCCAGAGAGGCCAGAGGTGAGAGATGCTTAGTGTGCTGAATTAGCGGAGGAAACATTTGGACTCGAGGATCCAAGTGAAGTTTAAGTGAAGGCTGTTTCTGAAGAGTGACCAAACAGTGTCTGAAAAAGCAAAATGTCATGTAGTGTTTGCTGCATTACAAATTACAGGGTCATTGTTCTGAAAATTACAGACCAGTTTCCACATCTGTTTTTTAAACAGTTTAATTGGGAGCCAGAAGGAAGATTGGTCATTCTAGGATGTTTAAAATGAGCTCTAATGGTTTCCAGGTCGAGAGAAACCTTTGTTTGCAGTCATTGAGCTGGAAAGGGGTAGAAGGCGGGTCTTGATATTTTGTGAGACCAAATCTACCATCTTTCATATACTCCCATCTGATGGCTGCTTTAGGAATCTAAAAGCCCAAAGCCAAAAGAATTTGTTTTAGTTTACGGGGTTGGAAAAGGGTTACAGAGGACAAACTGCGAGGTACTGACCTGGACTGTTTCTCTCTAATCGCAGGTAGTGGCAGGCATTTGAAAGAGAGCCTCGGGTTGGAAAAGAGTTTGCCTTGGTGCCTCTGTGCTTTAGAGACTTTGTAGTGACTGCAGGGTCAGTAATCTTTACTAACAAATATTCTGCTTCTGAAAAATTGAAGCATTAAATTCACTGGAGACTTGTGCTTATTGAGCACCTACTGTTATACCAGACAGGTGTACATGGTATTACCAGTTCTATAAAAATTGCAGATGCTTATTGCTGGGTTCATAGAGGAGAAAGCTGAGGTTTAGTGAGGCTCAGTAACAGGCAGCGTCACTCGTTTCATAAGTGGTACAATCCGATGGAACCTGGGTTCACGCTGCCCGTAACCTGTGCCTCCACCCTCCGTTGTGTGGCACACAGCTGCAGGGAGCAGAGAGATGCTGGGGTGTAGGTATCCGTACGTGTGCACTCATACAGCAAGCAGTCGGCCGTGGCTGGGTGGCCGTGCGCTGTGGCGTCGGGCGCCTTGCCAGGACCTGGGCGGGCCTGTCCCTTTGTGCTTGTGCTCTCTCCTGCCTGTCTGTTGCTCCCACTCGGATTGAACGTCTTGATACCTCATGCAGATCACTGATACAGTCTATGTGAGGCGAGTTTCAGAGACTGAAGCTCCTTAGCAGACAGTCTTCCAGAAGAGACTTCTGTGTGAGAAAATTGACAGACACAAGGTTGTGGAGTATGCTGATTGATTTGCTAAGTGCTTGCTTAAAAGGAAGCTCCAGGGATCTCACTGAGAGGACCCGGGAGGAAGACAGGTCTAGGAGGCCAGGGAAGACCACCTCTGACCCTAGCTGTCAGCCCAGCTTCAGCAGTGCGCGTGATTCCGCCCAAAATGAGGAAGCAGAGCTGCAGCTGACATGCATGCCTTGGGGCCGTGGCCCCTGCTCCCCCGCGCACAAGTACAGGATGTTTTAGTGATTAGGATTCTGGAGTATGTACAGTCTGCGTATTTTGTATGGCTGTTTTGGAAGTCCTATCCATGTCTCTCTTTCATATTCTATATGTATGTGTTGTCTTTCTGTAGTTAATAAACAAGGTTTAAGAACTTTTAGCTGCTTTCTAACTCGTAGGTACTCTGAGCCATATGTCCTTGGAATCATAACTGTGTGCCCAAGATTCATGACTAATATACGAATTTTGGTTAGAAATCTGAGATATACAAACGTGCTTTTAATGGTAGAGAAGCAAATGAAGACGAAGCTGCTGATTATATTTTAAATAAGTTACAGAACCCATTTCTGCCCCCCCCCATAAAAATCTGTCTTTCCCCCCCTCTCTCTGTAGCTCTGCCTTGCAAGTAAATAAGTAAATTTTAGAGGGTTTGGGGTGTAGCATTGTGGCACAGCCAGTTAAGCTGCTGTCTGCATCTCCAACATCCCATATGGGCAGCAGTTCAAATCCTGGCTACTCCACTTCTGATCCGGCTCCCTGCTATGCACCTGAGAAAGCAGTGGAAGATGGCCCAAGTGCTTGGGTCCCTGCACCCACATAGGAGACCTGGTTGAACCTCCTGGCTTTTTGGGGAGTGAACCAGTGGATACAAGATCTCTCTTCTGTTTCTTTTTTTCTAAGCCTGCCTTTCAAATGAATAAGTCTTTAAAAAACAAATAAAAAAGCAAAGCAGGGGTGGGCGTTTAGCTTAGAGCTTAAGATGCCCACATTCTCATATCAGAGCACCTGACTCCAGCTTCCTTTTCTCTCCCACAGAGAGTTTCTCAAAATAATTTTCTTTTTAAAATTTATTTAATTATTTGAAAGAGTGAGAGGGAGACGCAGAGACAGATCTCATTCACTGGTGCGCTCACTGCCAGGTCGCTGTAGCAGCAAGCCCTGGGCCAAGCTGAAGCCAGCAGCCTGGAGCTGGGTCTCCCACGTGGGAGACCTAGCACTTGGGCCATCTTACACTGCTTTGCCAGGTTATTAGCAGAGAGCCGGATCTGACGTGGAGCTGCCGGGACACAAACTGGCACGTAGAGCGGATGCTGGTATTGCAGGTCACGGCTCAGCTTGCTGCGTCACAGCGCCCTCCCCTCGAGAGCATTTTTAAAAGCATTGTTATATAAAAGCTCTGTCCCTGACAAGTGTGCTAACGCAGAACACAATTGGTCATTTAACATCATGTGCTCTTACTGTATATTTTGTTTTCTTATATTCTATCCAGTACTAATTTTGGAACAAGCCTTGTGTACTGTTAACTCAAGAAATATTTCCCATCTATTCTCCAAGGTTCTGATATATGGAGGCTTCTGGTTTGAACTTCAGGATCTTTATGAAAGCTTGAAGTTATTCAGAATTACAGTTCAGTTGTCAAGAAACTTGTTTCTATTCCAATTTCAGTGACGAAGAGCGATACAGATACAGAGAATATGCCGAGAGAGGGTATGAGCGGCACAGAGCGAGTCGGGAGAAAGAGGAGCGGCACAGAGAGAGACGGCACAGGGAGAAGGAGGAGAGCAGACACAAGTCCTCTCGAAGGTTTGCTCCTGAGTCGAGTCGTGAGGCTGAGAGAGAAGCTGATTGGATTTTAGCCATGAGAGCAAATGTTTACAGATGGCCCATAGAACGGATGTGTTTCTATTTGGAAGATTCAGAATAATCTGTGGTTCCTTGCAAGCTTCAACAAAGATTTTAACTCTAGCAAAACTACATTTAATGTCCCAAAACCAGAAGTAATGTGGAGGAAAAAAATCATGTATGAGAGATATTTGCTTACAACATAATCTCATTGAGAGGAAATTTTGGCGTATGAATCCGTCTTTAGTAGTAAATAGTAAATAGCAGTGTTTGGTTCAGTTAAAGAAAATTTGGGGCTTGCAGTCTCCAAAAACAACATGAGCAACAAAAAACCAGCACTAAATTCTAAGGCCTATTTATATAAAATGCCTTCTGTGCTGACGGAGTGCTTCGGTTCCCTGTTTGTAGTTAGCCATGTACAACAGAGAACGCGGCGCTGGGACTCTGAGGTGGTATTGGTAAGGTGGCCCTGGAATGTGATTCTGCATCAGAGTCACATTCAAACTGATGTGGTTCCTCCGTGTCTTTATGAGACAAGAAAAGAATGGGTTAGATTATTTGAAGTCCAGGTGTTGTGTTGAGAATCAGAGTGGCTGATTTTTATCACAAAGTGTGTACTTAAGGGTTTTTAAACAGTACATTGTTTTTTGTTTGTTTGTTTGTTTTTCAGTAACAGTAGACGTCGCCATGAGAGTGAAGAAGGAGACAGTCACAGGAGGCACAAACACAAAAAATCTAAAAGAAGCAAAGAAGGGAAGGAGGCCGGCAGTGAGCCCGCCCCCGAGCAGGAGAGCACCGAGGCGGCACCCGCAGAGTAGGCGTGGGCGGGGCCTCGTGTCTGCAGCAGTGCCGGAACTAGATATTGTAAATCTTGTTATTTTTCTGGATAATGTTTAAGAAATTCACCTTTAATCTTGTTCTGTTAGTATGAAAAGTTAACTTTTTTTCCAAAATAAAAGTCGATTTTTCATGTTAAGTTAAAGATGCTTGTCATGTAGTATTTAAAAATCGAATAGCAGCCGTGCTTTACATCTAGGGAAGTACTGCGAGTGAATCACGTTAGGGGTTCAGGAGCACCGTGCCTGTGGTACGCACAGTGTCCGAGACAGGTCAGGCCGCACCTCGGCCACGGTCGTCCTGGCAATCAGCAGTCTCATCAGAGGCTGCACTGCAGAAGGCATCAGGAGGCCCCTCTTGAGTCTGTCTTCACTGCTGTGGCATTCCTGTTCCTGCTGCGCACGGTCAACGACTCATGCACGTGTTTGCTTTTACACGGCTTTGTTTTGTGTCTGGGTTTTTGTTTTTTGGGTTGGGGGAGACAGATACAGCAAGCTCCCATCTGCTGATTTAATCCCTGCAACAGCCTGGACTGGACCAAGCTGAAGCTGGGAACCAGGAATTCGATTCAGGTCTCCCATGGGGGTAGCAGGAACCCAACTACTTGAGCCGTTGAGCCATCATCTGCTGCCTCCCAGTGTTAGCAGGAAGTTGGAACCAGGAGCAGGAGGCAGGTAGTGAACCCAGGTACTCCACTGTGGTACATGTGTGTCCCAACTGATGTCTTCACTAATAGGCTAAATGCCACCCACCCCGGCTTTTTGATGGCAGGATCTCACTGTGCTAGATTGGGGCTCATGGGGAAGCTGGATGGGCGGTTTTATATGTAAATTACGCAGGTGGAAGGCATTTGGGTGGCCTCTGAAGCCACTTGCTCTGGTGTGGTTCCCAGCAGGCTCATGTTCCAACACGGATCATTGTGACCAGCTTGGATCCCCTCACGCCGGCTGGGGTGGCCCTCCTTGGTGCATTTTCCCAGGCTCATTGGTGGAGCTGCACGTGCAGTTCCTGACAGTTACTAGTTACGTTGTGAGGACAGCTGAACGCCAATTCTTATTGAGCCATGAAAGCCCAAGTTTATAATTCCGTGAGCACTTTCAGGGATAACCCTCAGAGATGATTCTCCAGTCACATAAACAGATGACCTGGTATTTGAAAGAGCAGATTGCCGGCTCTTTGAAATAGTGCTGACAGAAGGAAACTTAGAATTAGCATCACATACAAAAGGCGGCTATGGTTTGTGGAAAAATATTTATTTCTCATTTGCTGAATGTTTTTAGCAATGAATGCATTTTTCAAAATCCTCTTGCTTTAAATTAAAAATGCCCGTAACGTACCCTTTGCTGATCTCAGCCTGAACCAGCATTTGAGTTGATGATTTGAATTCGGTGGGCCCTAACAAACCATTTCAGGTGCTCGAGAGCGTTTTATTGAGCACAAAATACAAATGAAGGAGTACAGTGCAGTGCTGCATCCTAGATCAGACCATTCTGTAGTAGTTTTTATTTTTTGAGAGTCCTATTTTCTGAGGTGCAATTGGCTTTATTAGATTAGGCCTTCTCTGACATTTTCACAAAGTTTTCGTTCACTATAAAAATTGACAAGATAAATACATTGTTCCAGCTTAGCCCGTGTGTCATGTTCTCTGACCCGTTATTGATGCTACAAGAATGTGCCAGGCCAGGACACCAGAGTGAGGGTGATTCTTCCTTTGAGTTCCTTCAGCATTCGAGCCAAGCAGGCGTGCGTCATTCCTGCTGTGCTCCTGCCGTTGACTGCGAGGAGAATGTCACCGCACCTGAACAAGGCAGCAGGAGGGATGTTTGGTTTCTTAGCTGAAGTTTATGCAGATTGATTTTGGTGGCCTCATTTCTGCTAGATTTGTTTGGTTTTGATTACTTAAGGGTCTCCCCCCCCCTTAGATTCTTTAAGCATGCTAGTCATTCCGCTTGTGTTAAAAGGGGTGCTCAAGGTAGAGCGACCTGCAGTGTAGGGCCGAGAGCACGTGCGATCGATCATCGGGGTGTTTTATGTTAAATGCTGTGCAAGTGTTTTATTTTCTTGCCCACCCTTCCCCTCAAAAGGAAGAGCCCTTATTTCAGATGGGGCCAGTATTGTGTGTCTGAAGCAAAGGACCTGAATGTAAGCTCTCTGTGCAGCAGTCGTCTTTATTACCTGATCCTTCCATCGTTGTACGCTGGTGTGCCTTCCACCACGGATTTGATAAAGAAAGGCTTGTTTCCGCTGTGTTCTTCATACCCTCCCACGATGCAGAAGCCCAGGCTGCCTGCCGCGTTTCTGCGTAGTGCGACATCTTTGCAGTGATACAAGTACCTGGGATAGAACAGAATTGGAGGATATGCACAGTTCAGTGTAACGGCTGGAGACGGAGTATTGTGCCTGTATCCCATTCCTTCTGCTGGCATTTTCTTAAGGCTAAATAACACTGGACAGCTCCCGCCCAAGTGTGTTTCTAGCTCAGCAACCTCTATGCTACAGCTGGCTACAGCAAACATTATGACCATCATATTTTTATTTACCTGAGTATAAATTTTTAATGAAGGCAGAAATCTTTCGAACAAATCGTTAAAATCAAGAAAATGTAGGTGTAATGAATGACTTTGTTAGCGTGTACTTGACCTTCGGAAAGCTCTAGTGCATATCGGGCTCTGCATGTTTGGTAGGTGACTGAGAAGTGTGCAGGCGGAATGTGAGTGGGATTGCACCTTCAGGAAAGCGGAACTGCAGACGCTGAGAAACCAGCTGCTGGAGGGATGGGAGAAGAGCGCACAGCCCTGCGGTGGGTGGGTGGGTGGGTGAGTGGAGGCCTCAGCCAACCAGGGAGGGAGGCTGGGCACATTCTGCTACTCTCCCTGGTCACTGGCTCCCTGCTCGCCAGGACTCCTGTGTCTGCCACATGTGTGCTGTAGTCCATGAACTCCTGAGAGGAACACGTTTTCATGTTGGCAAAAATCAGGATATGACTACTGTTTATAAACTGTACCTTAAAATAACATTGCTTTTTGAAAACCAATAAAAGTCTCTTGTGAATAAGTGAAGTTGCTCGTTACAGTTGTTACCGATCTTGCTAATCAGGGTAATGTGACTTTTTTCACGACGTTGCCAATACTCAGTTGAAGTAAAACCACCTCTGAGGTTTAATGAATACCTTTAAAATGTAGTGCTTTGTATCTGTTGTCCTACATATCATTTATAATAATTCGATAGCTGAAAAACATGAATGTCATTAAATGAGAAAACGACTTACTGTCAAATACCTGCTATTTCACAAGAAACTTTGATGTCAGTTGATGACTTCAGCCTGTAGAAGCCGTGGTGTGTGGGATAGATACCATGTTGTACTTAATAGCTTACTGAGTGCTTGTGCACGGAGCAGGTCCGTGCCTAGCCCCCGACACCAAGGCAATGACATTCCCTGTGGGAGACCCTGTGCCCAGCGTCTGGGATTGGAAAGTCATTAGAAGATGCCTTTCCCAGGTCATGCTCCTAGTCTGCAGACACAACAGGTTCATGGAGTAGGACCTGAAACTGTCCCTGTTTGTCACCCTTGTGACATACCCTCATTGCTCCCTCTGGGCCTCCTTCCTCGTAGTTCCTGGTCCCTGCAGTCGTGCTCCTGAGCAACACCAGAACTGCATCCTCCGTCACTGTTCTGCTACCTGTCACCGACCTTCCCAGGTCACAGCCTCGGAACCATGACCTTACATCCGGGTCAACTCCTCCGCTTAGCTTCTACGTGTTGGGGAGGACATGGGGTACTTCACTTAGTAGCCCCTGGTTCTGTGCGTTTTTCTGCAGATGACACAACTTCCCCTTTTTGTGGCTGAATAATACTCCATTGTGCATACACCATGCATTTTCTAAACCATTCACCCGTCTCTGGGCAGCGAGGTTGATTCGTGTCTGCTGTTGTGAATAGTGCTGCAGTCAGCGTGGGAGTGCAGTATCTCACGTGCCGATGTCATTGTCTTCAGCTACATGTCAGCAGCCAGATGGCTGGAGCCTCCTGCACTGCTTGAAGATTGCGAGTTTGCAGCAGTGTGTCCCAGTTCCCTCTCGTCTGCATACTGCTAGCATTCATAGCTGTTCTAGCTGGGGCGATACGACACCTCATTGTTAGGATGTGCATTTCCCTGCTAATGACCATGCACTTTTTCCTCTATTTGTGGGCCATCTGTGTTTACTTTTTTGAGAACTGTCTTTAGATCCTTTGCCTATTTTTAAATTGCACTTTTTTTGTTAAGTTTTTTGTTCCTTACGTATTCTGGATATTACTCCTTTGTCAGATGAAGAGTTTGCAAATATTCTTTGTCATTCTGTCGGTTGTGTCCTCACAACACTGATTGTTTCCTTTGCTGCGCAGAGCTTCCTCGTTTGATGGAATCCCACTTGTCTGTCTTTGCCTTAATTTTGCCCGAGCATTTGGAATTTTACCTCCAAAAGCATTGCTTATATTGTAGTCTTGAAATACTTTCACCATGTTTTCTTCCAGTAACTTAATACTTTCAGTTCTTTGGTCCATTTTGAGTTGATTTTTATAGTGATTGAGAGGTGGGTTGTGTGCATGTGTCAAGTTTCAGCTCTCTGCATGTGGATATCCAGTTGTCCCAGCACCATTAATAGCAGAGGCTGTCGTTTGTTCTGTCCCATTTGTGTGTGTGTTCTCACGCCAGTACCGTGCTCTCTGGTTCCTGTAGCTCTGTCATCTGTCTTGAAATCAGGCATCGTAATGCTTCCAGTGTTGCTGCTGAAGCTTGCCTTGGCTCTTCAGTCTATTGTTTTTCTGAGAGAATTATAGGGTTTTTTTTCTATGAGGAGTGCTACTGCAAGAGTGAGGATTGCATTTTATCTGTAAAATTGCTTTGCATAACCGACATTTTAAACACTTTTTCCAACCCATGAACAAAGGAGGTTTTTTTTTTTATTTTATTTTCTTGTGCCTTTTTCAATTTCTAAAATTAGTGCTTTATAATTTTCATTGTAGAGGTTTTTCACGTCCTGGTAAATTCATTCTGTGGTGTGTGTGTGTGGCTACTGTGAATGGGGCTGTGTGTATAATTTCTTAGCAAGTTCATTATTGGTTCTGTTTTTTTATGTGTATTTTTTCTTTAGTGAATTTGTGAACTCTAATAGTCTTGGTAGTCTAGGGTTTTTTGCATGTAGAATCATATCATCTGCAAACAGATAATTCAACTTCTCCCTTCCTATGTGCAGGCCCTCTTTCCCTTACCTAATTGCTCTGGGAAAAACTTCCAGTACTATAAGAGAGTAGACAGCTTTGCCTTTTCTAGATCTTAGGAAACACTTCCAGTTTTCCCCCATTGTATAATGTTTGCTATGGGTTTGTCATAGTCTTTTTTTAATTTTAAAGATTTATTTATTTGAAAGAGTTACACAGAGAGAGAAGGAGAGGGAGAGAGAGAGAGGGGTCTTTCATCTGCTGGTTCACCCCCCAATTGGCTGCAGTGGCTGGAGCTGAGCTGATCTGGAGTCAGGAGCTTCTTCCAGGTCTCCCACACAGGTGCAGGGGTCCAAGGAACTGGGCCATCTACTGCTTTCCCAGGCCATAGCAGGAAGTTGGATTGTAAGGGTACCCGCTGTGCCACAGTGCCAGCCCCATCATATAAAGTCTTTAATATAATATTGGGACCTGGAGCCACCACTTTGGGGTAGCAAGTAAAGCCACTGCCTGCAGTGCTGGCATCCCAGATGGGCACTGGTTCGAGCCCCAGCTGCTCCACTTTTGATTGAGCTCCCAGCTATGGCCTGGGAAAGCAGTAGAAGATGGCCCAAGTGCTGGGCCCCTGCACTCTTGTGGGAGACCTGGAGGAAGTTCCTGTCTCCTGGCTTCAGATCAGCTCAGCTCTGGCCATTGTGGCCATTTGGGAGTGAACCAGTAGATGGAAGATTTCTCCCTCCCTCCCTCCCTGTCTCTGCCTCTGACTTTCAAATAAATCTTTTTAAAAAATAAAGATCACTGATAAATTGAAAAATAACTTTTTTAAAAAAGGATACAGACTGGCTGAAACATACTTCACCAACAAAGATACATGCAGACTGAAAGTGAAAGGATGGAAAAAGAGTCCATGCCGATGGAAAGCAAAAAAGAGCTGGGGTAGCCATCCTAATATCAGACAAAATGGACTTTAACACAAAAATCATCAAAAGAGACAAGGGCATTATGTAATGATTAAGGGATCAGTTCAACGGGAATATGTGTCTATAATGTCTGTGCACCCAATACCAGAGTACTTGGCTATTTAAAACAGATGTTAATCTAAAGGGAAACATAGACTCCAATAATAATGGGGGACTTTAATAGCCCCCTTTAATCAATGGACTGATCAACTAGATAGAAAATCAACAAAGGAAAAACAGAGCTAATCTATACTATGTACCAACTGGATCTAAATGATAGCTACAGTATGTTTCTTCGCACAGTTGAAGAATACATATTCTTTTTATCAGTGCCTGGAACTTTCTCTAGGGTAGACCACATGCTAGCCCATAAAGCAAGTGATAGCAAATTCAAAAACTCAAAATCATACCATGCATCTTTTCTGATAACAGTGGAATGAAGCTGGAAATTAATAACTTAAGAATCTCTAGAAAATATGCAAACACATGCAGCTTGAACAACATGCTCCTGAATGAACAATGGTTCACAGAATAAATAAAAAGGAAATCAAAATATTCCTGGAAATCAATGAAGATGACAATACAACATATCAGAACTTATGGGAAACAGCAAAAGCAGTGTTGAGAGAAGTTTATAGCAATTGGTGCCTACATCAAGAAATTGTAAAGGCATCAAATAAATTAGCTATCAATGAGTCTCAAGGACCTAGGAAGACAACATCAAACCCAAATTTAGTAGGAGAAAATAAATAAAATTAGAGAATAAACATTGAAACAAAAAAAATTTTCAATAGATCAGTGAAATGAAGAGCTGTCATTTTGAAAAAATAAACCAAATGAATACACCATTGGCCCAACTAAGAGACCCCAAAAAAAAATCAGAGATGAAAATGAGGATGTAACAATGGATACCACAGAAATTAAAAGAATGCTCAGGAATTATTATAAATGGCTATATACCAACAAATTGGAAAACCTAGAAGAAATGGATAGATTCCTGGACGTATACAGTCTACCAAAACTGAATCATGAAGACATAGAAAACCTAAACAGATCATTAACTAAGAGATTGAATCAGTGATAGAGACCCTCCCAACAAAGAAAAGCCCAGGACCAGATGGCTTTACTGATGAATTCTACCAGATTTTAAAGAAGAACTAATGTAATTCTTAAGC